CCGCTTGGGGGCGGGCGAGGCGCCTTGGCTGGTGTCAGAGGAGCGGCTCTGGGTGGTTGCTTTGCCTTTTGACTTGCTAGCAGCGTTGGTGGGCATGTTGAGAGTGGATGTTGAAGAAAGGGGAGCGGAAGGGGTGATTTTGCGATGGATAGAGAAGAGAAATGAAATATGTCAACGTGTCGCGTTTTTCTGTCAGTCGCGCGTCCTCAAGTTTAAGACCGACTGTTTAAGAGTGGCTCAGACCCACTCTTAAACTTGGCGGTCTTAAACTGGCAAAATTGCCTCTTCAGGAAGGTCCGAATCGGAGCTGTCAAAATGCAAAAATGGACCCTGCTCAGGGTAGGATCTGCATGTGCCTGAGCCCTGACCACAACCTGACACCTTAAGCGAGCCAAATGGTTTAAGACCGCTCTTAAACCCCAAATTGAATTCCCCTACTATTAAACAGATTAGCAACGATAAAAATATGAAGAGTCGTAAAGCAAGGAAATATTTAGAGAAAAAAATCTGAAGTGCAGCATCACACAGTCTCACAACTCCACAATGTCCACCATATCCAAATACAACTCGTCATCACCCAAGTACTCCTCCCACGCAGCATCCCACCCATCGTACTTCTTCGCTTCATCTCTGCTCATCCACCTGCCACTAACTCGCTTGCCTGCCACTCGTACTTGCACCTGAGGAACTCCCGGGTGTCGTTGATTGGGCTTGAGAACCCTTTCTTCGATAACTTGCAACACCCGGGGCGGAGGTGGTTGATCGGAGGAGAGAATGGTGGGCGAGACTTCGCCATGATATTTGGAGGAGGTGCGGAAAGGTTTTAGGAAAGAGGCATGACGGCTGGTGGTAGAGGTTGACTTGGAGAGAACAAGATTGAGATCGTAGAGGGATTGATGGGGAAAAGCCGCTGTGACGGTGTAGGGGCCTTCCCATCGTGGTACAAGCTTTGCTGAATTTCGAGGCGACGTGGTTTTATACTCGTGTCGAAAATCTTTGGTGTTAAGGTAAACCAAGTCGCCAACCTTGTACACGACCTCTGGCCGTCTGTGGCGATTGGCCTGGATAGCCTGGGAATTCTTCGCCATCAACAACGCATCCCTAGCCATTTTCTCTTCCAACTCCATCCTCTGCGCCGCCAACTGCCATTCCTCCTGACTCGGCTGGACAACTCCGTATTCTCGCCATTTCTCCTCATCCTCCTCCGTCTGAATGGGCAGTAAGAGAGATAACCGCTTGCCGTAAACCAACTGAGCCGCCGAAGTCTTGGAGGTAGGACGAACAGAATTGTTCATAGCAAACGCTACTCGCTGAAGATCGCTGGCCCATCGATTTCCTTGGTGATTGGTATACACGCGCAAGGTTTGGATTATGGTTTTATTGGCCTGTTCGGAAGCACCATCGGTCTGGGGGTGGTAGGCAGTAGACATCTTCAGCCTTGTGCCGCAGAGCTCGTGGAGACGGGTCCAATAAGCAGCCGTAAAGAGTACATCGCGATCAGAGACGATAGAGCGAGGGAACCCGAATTTGGAGACCCAATGATTGAAATACAACTGGCCAGCGGCGGAGGAAGTAACCGTAGTGACTGTAGGGATGAGCACGACCCAACCAGTAAGACGATCAGTGATGACCATGAGATAGTCATAACCGTTACTGGAAGGGAGAGGACCAACAAAGTCGATGGCGATATTGGCGAATTTAGACCGGGGGACAGGAAGAGAATGAAGTAAGCCGGCGGGTTTGACTGTCAAAGACTTGGCAGTTTGACAGGGGTGACATGATTGGACGTATTCCCTGACGTCCTTCTTCATTTGAGGCCAGAAGTACTTCTCCATAATCGTCTCCATCGTTTTCTCCACTCCAAAATGCCCCACGGCATCATGA